AAAGTTTAGTCTATGTCTTTATGAAAGCTTGTCTCTCCCGTTTCAGTGTTGTTACCTTGAATCGCCAGCAGGTGGTGCTATCTCATCTGCTCGCCCCAGAGGGGGTGGGGCTGGACAGGAACAAGATGGCTGCCTGCCTCCGAGCAGGCAACAGGAGCCCCGCGCCGGGTGGGCAGGACAGTCTCCGTTGCAGGAGCGGTGGCAGCGATCCCAGCAGATCTTCCCTGAAGCGGTTTGATGTGGATCTCCTCCGGCCGGGTTGTGATGAGCTACCCATGCCAGAGGCCGCGGCGGGCGCGGCGGCGGCGACGGCGGCGGCGGCAGGAGCGCTGGTGGGGGGAGGGGCTGCGGCAGCAGCGGGAGAGGACGATGCAGTAAAAATGTCCAGTCCTTGCGATGATCCAGTGATAGCGATGGCCGAGCTCTGTTTGAGGAGTAGGCTGCAATGCTGGGGTCCCCAGCCTCCCGGGGGCGAGAGTCAGAGACCCACTGCAGATCTCCCTTGCAGAGGGCTTCAGACACCGGGTTGCCAGGTCGCCATCTTGCCCCCCCTCCCACAAAATTATTTTTAACTGAATTTATCATATTTTATTTTGAACCATTACCAGTGCGCTTTGTAAAAAATTTAATGTGTCTACTCATTTGTTTTGTGTTGTTTTTTTTTTTTCTCGGCACAAGAGCTAGTGCCCTACCCCACCAAATGCTAATATATTTCTAACTCTTACTATTAGTCACTTCACAGCTTAAGTAGTAATTTTTCCAGATAATTTTTTTCTGATCCCAGAGATACATGTGATGTGTTCCCCATACCACCTAACATTCACGTAGCAATGATAGTGCCATGTAAATTCATGGTAAATATTTTTTTTCTAGTGCCCACTTGAATTTTAAATTCTGTTATTAAAAAGAACAAATTCATCACTCTGAACCTTGCATCAAATGGACAATGATCTGAATAAAAACAAAGTGATATTAAGACAAAATATAAGATGTCTATCATTCACATGGCTGTTAATTGATCCATAGAGGTTCCCATGGACCAGAACTAATTTTCCCAAAGAAACAGCCAAAGTAATAATGTAATTAAAGTTCATAAACTCCAGTACAAACAAAGATACATGTGACCCTGGGTTTAATTGTTATATGATAAACTGTTATATGATAAACAATGAGAAGGACATACATGGATTTACTAAATATTGATGCTTAATATCCTAGGAAATCATATAGTCTAATGCTGGCATCCCTATGCCAGTGGCATTTGGGTTTGTCATTCTTCTCACCCATCCTTGGGGAAACAACTGAAAGTACTGAGGACATTTGTGGAGTGACCGTGCTCCACCCAGATAGAGGAGAGAGGGAAAAGAGATCAAAGTGTCTTCTGAGTGTCTGGAAAGATGGAACCCTGGGGAGATGATTTCCACATATATATGATCTCTAACCTGGCGTATTGAACACTCTTTGAGAAGAAAATGTACTTAGTCCACAAAGAGGGCAGGAACAGGTTCCTATACCAATAAGAAGACAGTGGAGTTGGTGTGTGCCAGGAACAGAAATAAGAACAGAAAGATTTTCTAGAAGTCTGCACAGAAGAATATATTACACCTGTGATTGCCAACACCTATAGCAAAGACATTTTCATATCAACCTCAATGTTTTAAGGCAAGTTTGGAGTTTCTAATGCAGAACTCATGGAAGGACTTCAGGAAAACTTGTGCATGTTTCTAAACTAAATGTGATATTTTCTGCTCTTGTCTGTTTTTCTTCCTAGAGGGCTTGCGGCTTTTGTTAGAATTCCTTAAAATATTAACATTCAATTTCAAAACTAAACACAGAAAAGTTTTCTATAAAACACTATTTCTATATCAAGGTAGTGAAATATAAAATTAAAATCAAGTTTAAATGTATCAAAAATATGTAACCAAACTAAATAGCAGTTTAATTAAGCAAAATGATTATTCAATTGTACATATTTGCTGTCTTTTGCTGTCATTTTTGCTTCAAACATTGTTCAGCAAACACACAACAGTGGGGGCATAATGTTACTTTTAAAAATGTGTTTTTTAATTGATAAATATTAACTACTTACCTAGTGTTATTTATATCTTAAGAAAATATTATTTTTCTTTATCCCTAGCACAGTCTATAAATCTCTGTTGTTCTTCTGTAAGATAATAGTTGCAGAATCATGCATATACCAATTAATTGTTGCTAAATATGCATAGTATGATTGAGGTTGTTGAAATATAGTTTTACAAGAAAGTAGTGTAAACTGAAAGAGCTGAAGATTGGGGGTAACAGTTTCCATAAATCTGTTCCCTGTCTGTGAAAACAAGATGTGCCCTAATATTACTATGACCTTCTTTTTGCTAACTGGTTTCCCAGGGCTGGAGGCAGCTCATCACTGGATCTCCATCCCCTTCTTTGCCATTTATGTGTGTATCCTTCTTGGCAACGGCACACTCCTCTACGTCCTCAAGAATGACGGCAGTCTTCATGAACCCATGTACTACTTCCTTGCCTTGCTGGCAGGCACAGATGTGATGGTAACATTGACCACAATGCCTACTGTAATGGGCGTCTTATGGGTGAATCACAGGGAGATTACCCATGGGGCATGCTTCTTGCAGGCTTACATTATCCATTCACTTTCCATCGTAGAATCGGGTATCCTCCTTGCAATGGCCTATGATCGTTTTATTGCTATCCGCAACCCTCTGAGGTACAACTCTATCCTTACTAATTACCGGGTGATGAAGATAGGACTGGGGGTGGTGATGAGAGGCTTTTTATCGCTTCTGCCCCCAATTCTGCCACTCTTTTGGTTCCCATATTGCCATTCCCAAGTTCTTTCCCATGCCTTTTGTCTCCATCAAGATGTCATGAAACTCGCCTGTGCTGATATTACATTCAATCGCTTATATCCAGTTATTCTGGTTGCATTGACTTTTTTCTTGGATGCTGTGATCATTTTCTTTTCTTATATCTTAATCCTTAAGACAGTCATGAGTGTTGCCTCTGGAGAAGAGCAAGCTAAAGCTCTCAACACCTGTGTCTCCCATATAAGCTGTGTCCTTGTATTTTACATCACTGCAATTGGCCTGACTTTCATCCACAGGTTTGGGAAACATGCACCACATGTGGTCCATGTTACCATGAGCTATGTCTATTTTCTTTTTCCTCCATTTATGAACCCCATTATATACAGCATCAAGACCAAGCAGATTCAAAGAAGCATTGTTCACCTATTTTCTGGGCATGGTAGGGCTTGAACCACCTATTTCAGAGTTTTGAGATTGTAACAATTTCTGAGCCTTTTGCATAATTGGAAAAGAGCTGAGTTTTATAGTCAATATCTCTTTTATCATTTTAAACTTTAATCATTACATAGATCTACAAGCAAAGTTGAACAAGTTACAATAAATATATATATCAACTGGTCAATTGATAAACAGATAAATAGATAACATTTATCTGTAGATATATAGCTATATATCTGAAGAAATTAATTTATCTGTCTTCTCTCTGTCTCTTTCTTTCTCTTCCCTCTCCCCCACTCTCCCTCTCTCCCTCCTCTTCTCGGATACTAGAAAAAAAGGAATGCTATTGAGTTTAGAGATAAAGTACACAGATAAATACTCTACTAATCAGGGATGACAGGGTCAGTTCAGAACATGTACTCATAAGTGAAAGTGTCTCTACAGAAGAAGTCAAATTAAATGACCAGCCTATTCATAGCTTACATAAGGAAAAATGCATAATTGCAGTTCCAATTTTGTTCATATAAAAATAAATTATAGTTTGTGGATTGAGGTCCAATAAACTCTACCATATCTCAAAACTGCTCTGTTTCAAGGTCCAATTTCCTTTATATGTCATTTATAAAGATTTATTTGCAGCAGATTCTCTCTGAATTCATGAATTTGTTGTTAGTTCATTTCATGAGTTGATTTATTGTTATTATTTTATTTTTTATTTTTATTTTTTGAGTTGGAGTCTCACTCTGTCGCCCAGATGGAGTGCAGTGCCACTCCGGCCACCGCAGCCTCAACCTGCTGGGCTCCAGCGATCCTTCGCCTCAGCCTTCCGAGTAGCCGGAATTACAGGCATGTGCTACTATGCCCGGCCTATTTTTTGATTTATTGTAGAGATAAGGTCTCGCTGCCCAGGTGGGTCTCGAACCCGCGGACTCAGGCAATCCACTCACCTCAGCCTCCCAAAGGCGTGGGATTACAGGCTGAGCCACCGAGCCCGGCTGATTTATTATTTTTTTATTCTGAATTTTCCTTAAATGCTGGATAGAAACACTTCTGGTATGTTTGGTAGAGAAAATGAAAACCTTATATTGCAGATTTTTTAAAATATTAAACTTATTTTTTATTCTTATAAATTCCAAACTATTTCAGTTTGTTGCAGTCTTTTGCAAGTCTCATTTTGGATTTATCTAATCATTTTGTTTTTGCTAATTTTCAACCTGTTATAATTGATTTTTATAAGTTTGTTATACATTATCACTAGTGTTTTATTTTTATTATAATTATTTCTCAAGTTTTCTGTTTGTTTTTCTACATGTGTAACTTAAAAGCTTATATAAAATTATGTTATTATTTACTTTATCTGAGATCTTGGAGCCATAGTGGCAAAGCCATTCCTGATTTCAGGTTTATTTATATCTGTTTCTTATACTTTTACATGATTTATTTTTACAAGTCCTATGTTAAAATAGGTTTCTGTTTGGAGTAGGGAAGGGACTTTAAATCATATATCTATTTTCATGGAAGTAACACATATTAAATCATTCATTTGGCTGCAATTTTAAAGATGCCATTATGAGACAGTTTCTTTGTTAAGTAATAGTGATATAACAGCATCGAAACAGACAAAAACTTTTCCCTCTTGAAGTTTTCAATAATTGGGGAGTCAAAGTATCAAACAAACCACATTTTTAATAAATCCTGTGATTAATCCTACAACAGAAACATGACAGTGCTTTGCGCTGTGGGTCTCAAAAGAGGCCACTCTATGACTTGAAGTAAGGGTAAGATTCCCTGAGGTGTCTCTTAGGCTGATATCTGACGATGGATTAGAAATGAACTGGTGAAAATAGAAGCGAGAACATTCTGAGAAGAAAAACAACCTGCAAATATTAATCAATGTTAATTCTAAATATGTCTATATCTTTTCATTATTTTCCATTTTCCTAAATTGAGTTAATATTATCTTTTCTCATATAACTCCAATGTGTAGGCTGTAGGTGGGTAGATTATGGAACCACCCAAGGAATGTGGCTACTGGAAGAGGGTGATTACTTTGAGAAGAGGCTGAAGAGAAAGGAAGTGGCCAGATCACAAAGCTATGATATGGGTTTGGGTATCCACCCAAAGAGTCACAGAATGCTATTAGGGAGGTGGTCTTTTTAGAGTATAGATTGAAACAAAGACAGACAACAGTGGGCAGGAGAAATAGAAGTATAAACAAACAAACAAAAAGAGTAACACAATTTTATCAAAGTTTTAAAATCATTTCAGTAGATATATAGCTATATATATAAAGAAATTAATTTATCTGTCTTCTCTCTCTCTCTCTTTCTTTTTCTCTCTCCTTCCCTCTCACCCACTCTGCCTCTCTCCCTTCTCTTCTGGATACAAGAAAAAAGAAATGCTACTGTGAAACAACTCACAAACAGAAAGACAAATACCTTATGTTCTCACTTATAAGTGGGCTAAATAATGCTTCCACGTGGACATAGAGTGTGGAATGAGAGACACTGGAGACTTAAAACGGTTGGGGAAAGAGGGGGTGGTTAATAAGAAATTACTTAATGGGTTCAATGTACATTATTCAGGTGGTGGATACACTGAAAGTTCAGACATTACCACAATACAATATATCCACATAACAAAATTGTACTTGTACCCTTTACATTTATATTCATAAGTGGGCCTTGAACACTTATTATGATACTTTAAGAAAGGGTTTGGCAGGAGTTGAAAACTGCCAGGGGAGGGGGATGCACACCTCATCAACAAGCGTATCTGCATAATGAATATTTAATACTTAAACCTGAATTATACCCCATGTCTTCAAAATTAAAAAAATTAAAATAAAATAATAAATAAATTGATACGAATTTAGAAAATATATTTGAAGGAGGTAGGAAAAGAGTAGAATATTGGAGTTATATGAGAAAAGATAATATTAACTCAATTTAGGAAAATGGAAAATAATGAAAAGATACTAGACATATTTAGGATTAACATTTGTTAATATTTGCAGGTTGTTTATAACAGCAGAGAAGAAAGGATTGAGAAGGAGCAACAATAATCCTAAATTTCTAACTTATGGTATTTGAATAAGTTAACAGAAAAGCAATTATTGGTTATATATTGTCTATAAATAAGAATAATAATATATATTTTATTAGAAGACTTTGAGGATGAATCCAAATGATGAAGTTATGATTTAAAAAAGTAACTGAGGAAAATATTTCAGGCTGCAGAACTGGAGTTTTAAAAATAAAGCATTTGCATATAAATTAAAATAATTTATTAAAATCATGTTTAGTATGTTTTTCATTTTGCCTGATAATGATGCGTCATAATGAAGGCAAGATGTGGGCCAGAAAGTGATGAAAGTTAAGGTTACTGGACAACAGAAACAAATTGAAGCTGATGACATTAAAAGAAGCTTGGAGAACAAATGAGACTTTGACTTCCTACTTAGGGAGAAAATGAAATAGATCAGGGTTTTTCTTGGGTGACATTCACTGGAGTGGAGGTAGTTCTAAATAAGCAGTCCAAAAATATTGCCAAATATGAGAAAATACATAAATTGTGTGATGCAATGGGTTAGAGACAGATTTTACACAAACATAAATATGAAAATGAGCTGAAAAACTAAGCTCTGAATTACTCTATGAACAAATAATAGTAATATATTAAAAAATAAAGTTGTTTTATAAGGGCTTAAGAAAGTTACCATAGATTTGGGACATACACTCATAGATGTCTAATCACAGATCTCTGAGAAGGACCACATGTAACCGAAAATGATTTTCCCCCCATGTGACTTCTTGAATGAACCATTCTATTCAATTTATAAAAACAAAATATATTTAAGATCTAAGAAACTTCATACTAGTGTATATATGTGCAATAGTGTGTACATGTGAAATAAATATTTTGATATCTTAAAATAATTTATTTTTATTTATTTATTTTTTTATCTTTTTATAGTTTATTTATTAAATCTGTATTTTAAAGATGTGGGGTACATTTCAGAGTTAGGTACACAAATGGTCATTGTACAGGTAAAGTTTGGACCTCACTTTGGTCCCCATGTCACCTAGTTTGAGATCAGGTACTCTTATTGATGAAGTGTGTACCCCCGCTCTCTCCACTGGCAGCTTCCCACCACTGCCAATCCCTTTCCTATAGTATTATGATCATTGTTCAGGGTCTGCTTATGAGTGAGAGCATGTGTTACTCAGTCGTTTTTTTCTGTGATAGATCACTGAGTACCACAGACTCTAAATCCATCCAAGTTGCTGTGAAGGTCATAATGTTGTCCTTCTTTATGGCTGCATAATACTCCATCATGTATATGTACCACATTTTTTAACCAGTCTAATTTCAATGGCAGCATGGCTGGTTTCATGTGTTTGCTATTGTAAATAGTGCTTCAATAAACATGTGTACACAGGTATCCTTTTTATAGAATGACTTGAGTTCTTCTGGGTATATTCCCAGAAGGAGGATTGCTGGGTCATAAAGGCAGTCAATTTTATTTATATTTTAGGAATTGCCACACTCTCTTCCACAGAGATTGTAGTAGTTTACACTCCCACCAACAGTGTAGAACTGTTCCCTTTTCCCCTGCATCCTCTAGAGCACCTGTTTTTGTTTGTTTGTTTGTTTGTTTTTTGAGTTACTGATGATGGCCATCTTGACTGGAGTTAGGTGGTATCTCAATGTAGTTTTAATTTGTATCTCTTTGATGATTAGCGAAGTTGAGTATTTTTTTATGTATCTGTTGCCTGCACATATGTCTTCTGAGAAGTATATATTGATATCTTTTGCCCATTTTTTAATAGAGCTGTTTGACTTTTTCTGTTTGACATATTTGAGTTCCTTGTAGATCCTAGATGTTAAGCCTTTGTCAGATATACAGTTAGCAAATATTTTTTCCCAGTCTGTGTGCTGCCTTCTCACTCTGATGGTTTATTTTGCTTTGCAGAAGCTTTCCAGTTTGGTAAGGTACCACTTCTATCATA